GACTGCCTGTCTCTTTGGCCAATCAAAGTAGCAAATATAATGCAAAAGAGACCCTGCAAGGTGTGCCCCAACACCTCTGGAATACAATATGTGCAAGGCATCACCTCTCACAAGAGATGTGCTGACCCCTGGGATGGTAAATAATGGATGGTTGCTCCTTTTGGCAAGGAGTGCCTGCTGTGGGCTGATGTATTCAAATTGCTGCTCTTCCTGCTTGATTATTTTCCAGCTTTTGCCAAGTGGACATGGTGTTTTCTTAAAGGTTGCCTTCTGGCAATCACATTCATGGCATGGGTGTTTGGAAGACCAATGCCCCAGCTTCAAAACATTTGAATAGAATTCTTGGTCCCCTTGAATCGCCCAAACTGCACATCTGTGGTTCCCTTTTGTCAAGGGTTTGCCTGCCATGTCTTTCAGCACCCCTTCTGGCAAGGGGTTGTTCCAAGGGTCTTTTGTGGGATGGATGCCTTTTGTCAAGGCAGTCAGGCTCCATGCCAGCCACATGTCAATGTTCTGCCAAGTTGTTGGCAAACTGCATGATTTGGGCATTGCACAAATAAGAAGGTGTGATTGCAAAGCTTTGTCCTTGCACAAGAGACATCCCCATGACCAAGTCATCAGGCTGTCTCTTGAATGGAATTCACAGCCATCACCATGGATGTAGATGGGAATGGTCTTGGAAGGGGACAATACTTTGCCACTTTTGGCAAGTGGTTCAACAAGCCTTGGGTCTTTGGCTCCTTCCACACCATGCCAAAAAGCAGAGGAATCATGGGGGCAAAACAACCTGTCAAATTCTTCAGGATAGTTTTCATGGAGGTTGGAAAAGAGTAGGTGTGGAAGGAGGACAGCAGCTTCTCCAGTGATTTCCTTCTGTGTTTTCAAATCAAACATAGGCACATTGACATTTTTTGGTTCAGGCAGCTTCATGTTCTTGCAACACAAGGTGGTCATGTCCATGTGGCAATTACCGACATTGCTTCCAAAGCTGCCACATTTGGCTAAGTCTAACAGGTCTTTATGTTGGCAGCCTGATAGCATAGCCAAATGGGCCAGCTCAGCCACCTGGGTTGCTGAAAGCCTTCCTTGGCTCCAGAGCTGCAAAAGCCTCTGGCACAAAGGGTTGCTTCCTTCCTCATTCTGCTCTTCATCCTTTTGACAAGGAGTGGACTTTGCTACTTCCAATTCCCAACCTCTCTGCCTCTTACACCTGCTTCCAGAAGCCATTCTGCAATCTCTTTTGCCAAGAGGTCAGGCACCACCCTTTGGACAAGAGGTTATATAAACTGAGTCTGAAAAGCAACACCTTTTGACAAGGAGTACTGGCACAACCATGTGAAAAGAAGTAAAGGCGTATCCTTTGGACAAGGAATAAAGGCTTAACCTTTTGACAAGCTGATAAGCCAAATGGCTGCAGGTGTGAGCATGCACTTAGCTTGAAAGAAAACACAAAAAAAAACTTGTACAGTGGTAACCCCTTATACTGCTGTGTTCAACTGACAAACTAAACCAAACACTGAAAGGGATTAACTGCACCACCACCCACCCAGAAGCAGCTGCCCTTTTTCACCACACAAGCTTTGTGCTGTGTCTTTGCTGTCTCATCCTTTTGGCAAGGATTTCCACAGCTTGCAAAACTGTACAAATCCTTTCAGCAAGGATTTTCTCTCCATGTGCCCTTTTGCCAAGAGCTTCAGGCTATATCTTCCCTTTTGGCGACAGGTATGGATTGTGCCCTTTTGTCAAGAGCTCCAGGCAAAATCTCCCCTTTGGCCAAGAGGTCTGCAGAGTGCCCTTTTATCAAGAGCTATTTCTTTGATGCTCTGCTGGCAGCTTTGTGTGCCAGCTGCCTCAATTCTTTTGCCTCATCTTTGACTGCCTTGAGAGCTGATCCAGTTGCAATCAGGCAATCCTTGGCTTTCTTGAGGCTCATGGACTGGTTCCCCCTTGGCCAAGATCTGCTTCAAGACCTTCTCCTGGCACTGAAGCTTCTGCAAGATCTCCTCTGTGTCCTTCTTGCCCTGCTTGGTGATCCTCTTTGCCTTCTCAGCTTCCTCCAGTGCATCATTGCAGTCTGCT